GGGGGAGGGTTGGGGAGGGAGTAAGTTGTCCGTGGTTGTGCATCAATCCAATGAGTGTTGACGACAATAATGCATTATTATTTTGCGCTCACCGCACACAATTTGTTATTATACTACTAAGGCGTCTACGCGTGCATGTGTCCATGTGTGTGGGATGGGGGCGGGGTGCATGTGCGACACAAACTGTGCGTGAGCAGTGATCGGCACGTCTACTCAAGAGAGTTCTTTTACCTGGCAGTCGCGCTATCTTGGGCAACAACATGAACAGAAAAGACAACAACATTTTGATGAAAAAATCTTCGCTTGATAGACCACACCGCTGACTTCTGCTCGCCTGAAGACGCAGCAAAACGACTTGAAATAAGAATATATCCGAAAACAAAACTGATCACCCGAACTTGCTTGTTATAATGGCCAAAAAAAGAGAATCTTTGAGGAAATAATATGTATAGATCAGGATCTGGTACACCTCGATTAAAACAAACAACAACCTACAAACAAACAAACTAGAACCGGATGAAGGAAAGCGATTTGTGGAAATATCCGTCAATAAAAACAACGAGACACCTTATCATTCAACGATCGCCCAAAAAATGGGAAACCTTTTGTATCCCAAATCTGGAGGAGTAAACAGAAGAATGCAATAGGCCTACACAACCAGTGTCCAATAGAACTAATTCGCGCACTGGACCGTTTGACAACGTAACGCACAAAAGCAAGGACGAAATAATGATCACTGTTACTAAATCACACGCATGCAGGCGGCCCTACTTCATAAAGAAATCGATATCAGCCTGTAATCGGAACGTCCTTACGTTGTTTTCGTCTAGATATCTACAGTCTCCAAACGTTGCCAGCTGTGTCACTTGTGCTGTCAACCACTCTGGGCGAGAGCAGGCCAACTAGCACGTAGATCTAGATCTAGATCTAGTGGTAGATCTACACATTATACTGAAGCGATGAGAGGAGAAAGGGGTAAGACAGGCCCGCACAACGAATGAGCTCCAACACAACCAAAGCAATCACATTTGTCTAGATCCTAAGTTTATGTGTGTGTGTGTGTGTGTGGCGTCTGGATACTTCAGCCCGCGAGTCGGCCTGTCCTGCCCCGTCAAACAACAGCTGGCTGCAGTGTGTGTGTGAGTGTGTATCATGTGTGCGTGTGTACGAGTGTACTACGTTGTGTCGGCCACCGTCTGGATGGGTATAAATAAAATAAATACACTTTGTTTACGATTACGGCTAACACGTGTGCCGAGATCCTTGCGTTCGTGTGAATATGTGCGTTTGAGTGTGTGCGCGCGGGTGAAAGGGGGG